ACCTCGATTGATTATTAATACTGGGCGTTAAGCTCAAGGTCATTCGAAGACACTTCGAAATAACGGAGTGTCCTTGAATGACCTTGAGCTTTCGAGAGTGGTTCTTGGCCGGGTTCGTCAGCCTTACCGGCTTTCTTAACAGCTTTACCTGATGGTTGAGGAGGCATAATTACTGATAATATCGAATCGTGTCAATGTGGCCGATGATTTATAAATATAACCTCAGATATACGTCTTCCACGCCTAACAGTTGAGACGTGAATTGTACAACAAGGATGCTGATTGAAAAAAACCACAAGCTCTCGGTAAGTCACTTCTTTGTCGTTCAGTACGAAAAATTCAGTAACAAAATCACTAGGGACGATTTGTTGTGTTCTAGATAAAACAATTTACGGCTATAAGGCGAATGAAGGGGGCGAGATTGTCGTGTGATACTATTAACAAGTGTTATATGATCTTGAGACATGTTGCACAAATTTCAAAAGATTCATCCGGAAATGATTCATCCATCTGCAAATGAGCATGGTACTGAGAATTTGAGGTCTGTAACATCAACTCCTGTAAGATGATTAAAGCCTCTGTAAGTGGTTCTGAAAGATAACACGTTGACCTGTTAAAAGTATCTATTAAAAGTTTCACATTCATTGTTGTAGGAGAGTTGTAGGTAGGAGAGTCATGAAGATGAAGGAAAGACAGAAGATCCAAACTCAATGATTTTGCCAAAAATTTGATGAAATGTTTGCTAAAGGTCAAACTAAATCAAATCAGGATTGAAAAGATATCTGCATCTTAGCTCAAAACAAATTGATTAACTGGTAGGTATGGAAACAGTCATATCTTTTTGCCAGAATTAGTTATGAAAATGTAACAAGGCCCAACCAATCTGAAAAAGTTTGCACTTTCAGAAAATGACCTTATAATGTCATTTAGAGGTCAAATAACGAAGTTTCCTTGAATGACCTTGAGCTTTCGAGAGTGGTTCTTGGCCGGGTTCGTTCTTGAAATAATTCATCGATCCGCAAATGCTCATGGTGCAAATCTGAGGTCTGTAACATCAACCGTTCATGAGTTATGACTGCAAACAGGCGTACAAGATAAAAATAGTAGACGAGAAGAATATTGAATTAAACATTGATAGACACCGATTTGACTTTCAAATAACAGAAAAGGTAAAAGTTGAAGTCTTTTGTCACAATCAATCAAAATGAAGGCAAAAATGAACAAAACTAAAGTCTCTCAATGGAATCATTACAATGTAAAATGTTGGGAAAATGATTATTGATTTTAATGACAAACATTGATCAACACACAAACCCAAAAGCTGGACTCTGAACACTTGAGAAACAGCCTGAGGAAGAAAATTGTCTTTTCTCATCATTTCCATCATCCTGTTCATGTTAATATTTTATTTCAAAAGTTTGCTCTTTTCTCATTCAGTTGATTGTTAACCTCAGGGTTACACACTAATATTGATTATCATTCACCTTTCATTGTGAGCAAATAATAAATTTATTAATTGTAATAATTAAAATGCCAATTGAACCTGGTCAAGAAACAAAAGGTAAACAATGTCTTTGGTAACCATTTGTGTTTCCTTTGCCCAAAGGTAAAGTCAATGATAAATGTTTACCTAAACATTTGAAAGAAAAGCCGTAATTGAATGTTGAACAATTAACTTGAACAATTAAGTTGAAAGGCGAGAGATTCAATTAATCAAAAATAATGGCCAACAACATAAATCGTAATTAACTTCTGATTCAATGTGAAATGATTGAACCAAAACAATGGATCAATATTGTTTTGACCTTTAAAGTCCATTTTGATGAAAACCACTTTAAAGGTGAAATCATTTTCAATTGAACAAAATCTGGTAAAGTGACTTAAACTCACATACATATGTATGTTGAAGATGACAACTTAGCTGTTGTGACTTTTGCTTATCAAGCAAAATAAAAAGGAAAAGGTAAAAGCTACAAAAAAATGTCCAAATGTTGTTCTTGTCCTTTGAACATCTTTGATCATCTTAAGATGATGATATTAAATACAAACATCTTATTACGTCCTGCGGCTGTTTAATGTGCACACATTTTGTCTGATTAAACAGCGAGTCAGAATGTGCAAAAGGACCAGCAAAAGAAGTACAAAAATGATGGAAAAAAAGGAAAAGAAAAAAAAAGTCAAATCTTGAAGCGATTACTTTTTTTAAAAGCTCTTGGTGGCCTAAAGATGAGCACATTTTACCTGTTGGAAAAAGGTTGAAAAAGGTAAGCAAAAGGAAGGTAAAAATAAGTTGATAGAAGCGCAATTTTGAAGCGATTTTTATCTTATACTTTCTGTTGATTACTTCTTTTACCTTTGAACATTGAGCGTTGAAAAATGTGCAAAATATCACAAAGATGGAGAAGAAAAAGCAAGAGGAAAATGACGAGATGATGAGCAAGATAAAAGCAAATTAGCGGAAATCTCGGTTATCGCCTTGGGCTGTATAATTGATCCCTTGAGATGGCCAAGATGAAGATACGTGTGACGAATTAAACAGCAATTTGGTAAATTATGATCAAACTGTATCTCTTAATGTGCCTTTACTCTCTCTCTCTCTCTTCATCCTCATCATTCAAGCTGTAATACTTGATTTCAAGTCGAGATTTGAAGAGAGAAGAGAAAATAGACTTTTCGATTAAAAAAAACTCGAGACTTAAGTGTTCAACTTTTCGGCGCAATTCATTTGAGAATTTTGAAAATCCATTGAAAGAGCGGTAAAGGAAAGAGTAAAAAATATTAGATGTTGAATAAATATTTGGTTATCGTCAATGAACACCAACAAAAAACAACATGAAAAGTGACATTTTTGTTCAATCTAAAGTGACTCACTTGCTGAGCAAATATCAGGTATAAATGAATCTCTTTTCAATCATTATCAATATCATCATGTTTCAAGACATTTACTTCATTCCATGTTTATCTTGTTTCTGTTTGTTTGTATCTTACACTTGATTATCTTCATTAAATTGCTTTTTATAACATTTTTTCGACATTTTTTTCTCTTTTCAATTTTCTATCATTTCATGATAAATTCATTGAATCCCGCATCAATTTTATTGTTTCCAGCTTCTTCTTTAATAGTTTTAGATAACAGCAATGAATGTCAGTGAAAAGACATTTTTTGGGTTTTTTATCAATTTTATGATTTTCATGATTTTCTTAGTTGATCAAGTTTCATCTTTTACTATCCAATTTGGCCAAATGTAAAACACAATTAAGATTTTCAGTGTTTCTTTTTCCTTTCGTTTATTGAGGCTCAGAGTTTTGATTACTTTCGGTTAATGATCATTTGATCAACTGAATCAGTGTTGACATTGCTGGTCAAGTAATCTGGTCGAAGTAATAAGCTTAAGATTGAGAGCAAAAAACATCTTCTTTTAATTAACTTCTCACTTCTGTTGATCATTAACAGCATTCTGATAGTTTTCAACTGTTTATTTACTTTAGTTATGTGAAAATCAAGAGCCTTTTAAGCATCTCACATCAATGAAACACACACAAAAATATATCGTCCAAAAGATGAAGATTTTAGTTTTTTTTCAAGCTTTCCAGTTTTCCATCCTCATCATCTGCTGCTTCATTCAAAGTTAAAAGCTTTTTTCCTTCAAAATAATGTTAATAATAACATGAAAACCCTAATGAAATATGAGGATGTCTTTTAATGCAGCTCTTTGCTCAACTCGAGTCTCAAATTGTCATTAAAGTAATCAGTACAATTGTATTATAATCAATGGGCAAACTGTTGATTCTTTTAATCTGATGATGATATTGTTGCTTGTACTCTTTATGTGATTTGATTCCACTTTTCCGTTTCTTTACTTTTCCCTGTTTTCCAGTCCCAGAGTTTAGGTGTGTTCAAGTCCAAGTTGTATTAACAAGTCAAGTTGATTGACTTTTGACAAAATTGAAGATGTTAATATTGTTCGAGAATTAAATTGCTCCTTCAATTGTTGATTAACAAACAAAGTAAAATTTACTAACAATTGGCCATTTGCTTATTTACAAAAGGAAAGGTCAATAGAAATGTAAATTTTATGTTTTCATGTAAACAATTGGCTTTCATTTCATCAATGATTTGTTAAAACTGACAAAATGATGTTAACATTGAAAAGGCATTACCAAGGGAAAAAACGGGTTCAGTTTCACTAATTGTTTTCCACTTTCACTAGACTTGGTGGTTTGTAATTGATTTAATTGCTAATTACAGTTGTTGAGTGTTGCGAGTGAAACAATGTGTGTCTTTGGGAAAAAGTTCATGAACCAGAAAAATGATCAATTTGGTCTTCAGATCACGAATCAGTTTGTGTATTTCCCAGTGAATCCAGTTCGTGCAAAAACAACATTTTCTTTATCGTTCTTTAGTTGCAATCATCATACCTGATCATCATCATGTTTGCTCATCTGAATGGCTCTGAAGACAAGAGACAGTAAAAGTTGAATTCAAAATGAGCTTCAACTTGTTGCTTGTGACAAATTCACTTGAGATTCAATCGATTACCTTTCAAGATGATGGGAAGCAATAAAATATCTTTGAGCACAAAATTTTGAACCAAAAATAAGTTACTTGATGTACTTGATTTGGCTTGAAAAAAATAAAGATTACAATTGTTTTACACTTTACTTTCAATTTACAAGTATTCAAGTCTTGTATTCAGTTGTATTGCATCGTATTATATGGTTGATTGGATTGGGTTCATTTCACCTAAGCAACATTTACGCTCATCATTGTTCATTGAACATTGTCCCAATGATTAAATGTGTAAACATTAAGTATCATTTATCATCTCATTGTAATACCAACTTTCTTAATCTTCTGGTTACACTTCAATAGTTACTGTCAACTAAAAGAGAAACCTTATTATGGAAAATCAAAAAGCAAGATTTTATTGGGAAAATCATTATGAAAATTATTAATAAAAGGATGATTTACATTCGGTTCATTTATCAGAAACTCATGTTTAACCACGATTTCTTTGATAATCATGACGGTGAAATATACGTTCATCAGGGTCCATCCTCCTAAACCAAAACTCACAATTCCTACTGAAATATTGTTTAATATTGAACTTTCTGAAAACCTGGTCAGCTATTAAGCGTTGACCTCTACCCACTGGTTGGAGAATCTGTGAAATTTTTAGATTCAATTCCTCGTTATTAACGATATCTTTTATGTTTTTGAAGTAAGCTTTATTGTATCGGTTTTGACAAAAAAATTGACTGCAGACTCCTTCAGGAATGCCGTCTTCAGCTACTAGACTGTAGTTCATACAAATACGGTTGTATCTAAACCATTCAAATGATAAGTTACATATCAGACGAAAACATTCGCCATCACGAAGACGTGGTTCACTGATATCTGGTCTACCTTGTATCCTGAAGAAGAAAAAATGTAAATGAATAAAGTTGAAAAGCAATTGATTAGTAGATTGATTGAGTATTCATCTTATGATAGATAATTTAAATTAATTATACAAATGTAACATTACCCTATCTGGTTGCCACAGTAAAAATAATCGGGTAGGGTCGTAGGTTGAAGTCTGCGTAGGCCAAGTACATTTGTATATCTATTTGGTACTCCAGTTATTGATTCCAGCTATTAATTAATATTATTAACAAAATAAGTATCTGTCCAAAGGCCATGAGATAGACTTTACTTACCTGTTCAAATAATTGTTGGTATTTATATTCATGTCTATCATCATTCCAATCAATGACTATGTCATGATATTCATCAAAATGCTTCACTTTGAATGTAGCTGAATAAAATTACAGGTAAAGAGTGAATTATCTCAAAATTAAAACTAAAATAAAACTTACTTTTATCAGAGTTTTTATTCGGTTCTGCCATTCCAATTAGTTCAATAAGCATCAATATGTGTCTAGGAACAGGAAACAAGTGGAAAAGTGAAACGTTTGAGCTGAAAGCAAAAGTAAAACTGACAAAATCTAAAAGGTTTAGGACCAAGCAAAGAACCAGATTATTGGCCGAAAACAAGTTATGAGACCAGCGCTATTTTCAAAGCAAACTTACAGAATCAATGGAGAAAAATCGTTGTTCGTATTTTTATATTTTTCACATCTACTTTTATTAGTATTTTTTGTATCGAATGACTTTTTCGTTTGATTTAATGAACATCGAAAATTAGTGTTTCCCAGAAATGCTTGGAAATGATTGAAAACGATAAATCCTTTGCTTGATAAGTAGTTTTCCTGATAACATCTTTATTGTCCATTCATTTCATTATCTTGATTCAATACTAGCCCAAGGTGTTCCTAGTTGAGCCTGATAAACAAAAGAAATAATGAGTCGAGTTAAAGGTTACAATATTGTTCTAACATGGTGAGGAGAATGGTAAACAAAAGGTTGAATTTGGACAAAAGGCTTTGATTAATAAACACACCTTGCTTTTTTCAAGTTATCATGAATATCTTTACCACATTTGCTATTGTATTATTTGATCAATTATGTAATGATAATCATCATTAGGGAAACTCAATTGTAAACCCGAGCAAGTGAAGAAAAAAGTGATTTAATCATTTCAAAGTTACATAGGAAATTCTAATGAAACTGGAGATTACCTGAAGGCAAATACAGTCTAATTGATGTTGCAGTTCATTTAATTTTTTTTACTTCTTTGCCTTTACTTCCCTTCTCAACCTTTTCAGCTTAATCATCATCTTCATGATATAATAGCAAGTTTCATTAAAAAAGTTGAGGTAACAAGAGAAATGGGAAAATGCCATTTTTGATTTCAAACCATTATTATTGCATTCATTTGCATTTTTGCCATTTGCAATTTGCATTTTGGTTAATTGTTTGAATCAAAAGTTACAGAGTTTTAAAAGTGTGTTTCATGTGATCAATTCAATTGATTGCTTTGAGAGTTCACTCCATCATATTAACGCCATTAAATGTCTATTCAGTAGAAAATTTGAAAATCTTTTTTTTCTCTTTGCTTTTTTTTGTAATCCAAATCACTACTAATGAATGATGCATAATGATGTTGATGTGAAAGGGTTGTTAACCGGTGAGTTTAGTGTAAACTTGGAATAAGAAGAAATGCTTTTCATGGATGCTTTTGTTTTACTTTAAATCCTATTCCATGGGATTAGATTGTTTCGTCTAATAGATTTATCTGATAACAGTGGAAGATCAGAAAGATCTGAAATGGTGAGAGAATAAGAATGAAAGGCTTTTAACATTTGATTCAATCTTATTTTGTTTATACTTACCTTTACTCGCAACTTAATCTTACTCAAGACTCAATTAGATTTGCGAGATTTGTTATTCTTCAACTAAAAGATGAGAAAAGCTTAAGATGAAGCAAAAACAATCGCAAATCATTCTAATGATATTAAAGAGCAAAACAAGATGCAAAAGAAGAAAAATGTTCATTCAAATTGAATTCATTGACAATATTTCACTGAATCTTAATGCTCCAGCTTCGGACTTGCAAACAAAAATCGAAAAAAGTGAAAAAATTGTTCGAAAAATCGACCTTTACAGATGAAATTGAGCTTGAAGCATAGTTTGCTTCAACCGTCCAAGTCTCACTTCTCCAACATCAATGTTTCTCGAGTAAACCCAAAAATACAAAAATGAACAAAAACCGTTGAAAACATTTCCTTGCTTAATGAATACATTAAAGTAAAGAGACATTTTGAGGGAAAAACATTGTTTCAAGAGTTGGTTGAAAATGTAAATTAACATGAATAGACGATTAAATTGGCGTAAAACACAAAAACTATTAACATTCATCAATACTATTCATGTTACTTTACGACAAAACCATCAACATTTAAACAATTGTTTTCTTCTGTTGATAAATGACTTTTGCATCATTATCATTGATATGAAATGAAGGCACAAATTGTCAACACTCTGAACCATGAAAGCAATTTATAAATAGAAACATTGATCAAAGTGATTATGAAAATTTGGACATTTATCCTTGATCGAACTGTTGATTCTTGTGATCTGATGATGATATTGTTGGTTATACTCTTTATGTGATTTGATTCCACCATGTTAATATTGTTCGAGAATCAAATTGCTCTTGCAATTGTTGATAAAAAACAGTAAAATTTACTAACAATCGGCCATTTGCTTATTTACAAAAGGAAAGGGAAACTCCTGTCAACTAAAAGGGAAACCTTATTATTGAAAATCAAAAAGCAAGATTTTATTGGGAAAATCATTATGCAAACTATTACATTCGGTTAAATCAGAAATAGATATTAATAATATTATGTATATTTAACCACGAGTTCTTTGATAATCATGACGGTGAAATATACGTTCATCAGGCCCCATCCTCCTAAAATGAAACTCACAATTCCAACTGAAATATTGTCTAATATTAAACTTTCTGAAAACTCGGTACGCTTGACTTCTATCCACTGGTTGGAGAATCTGTGAAATTTTTAGATTCAATTCCTCGTTATTAACGATTTTTTTTATATTTTTGAAGTAAGCTTCATTGTATCGGTATTGACAAAAAAATAGACTGCAGACTCCTTCAGGAATGCTGTCTTCAGCTACTAGACTGTAATTCATACAAATACGTTTGTATCTAAACCATTCAAATCGTAAATAACATTGCAAATGGAAACATTCGCCATCACGAATACGTACTGCACTGATATCTGGTCTACCTTGTCTCCTGAAGAAGCAAAAATGTAAATAAATAATGTTGTAAAACAATTGATTAGTAGATTGAGTATTCATTCTATGATAGATAATCAAAATTAATTTTAAAAATGTAACATTACCCTATCTGGTTGGCAAAGTAAAAATAATCGGGTATAGTCGTAAATGGCACTCTGCGTATGTTAAGTGAATTTGTATATCTATTTGGTACTCCAGTTATTGATTCCAGCTATTAATGTATCGCAAAATAAGTTACTGTCCAACGGCCAAAAGATAGATTTTACTTACCTGTTCAAATACTTGTTGATATTTATATTCATGTCTATCATCATTCCAATCAATGACTATGTCATGATATTCATCAAAATGCTTCACTTTGAATGTAGCTAAATAAAATAACAGGTAAAGAGTGAATTATCTCAAAATTAAAACTAAAATAAAACTTACTTTTATCAGAGTTGTTATTCTGTTCTGCCATTCCAAAAAGTATAAATATGTGCCTATGAACAGGAAACACGTTGAATAGTGAAACGTTTGAACTGAAAGCAAAAGTAAAACTGACAAAATTGAAAAGGTTGAGGGCCAAGCAAAGAACTAGATTATTGGCCCAAAATAAAGGGGTTGGACTTATTTGGACACTAAAGTAGACAGTTGTAAAACTTTAACTTAAACTGCAAATCCGAGAATAGTTATTTTCAAAATTGCAACTGAAAACTGGGAAGTTTTACAAAATTTTACCTTGGCGATCATGAAAAATCAGTAAAAACACATTTTATTTCGATTTTAATACTTCCATCTTCATTGGAAAAAGATGTTTATTTTTGTTCTAATGTTTTCCTAATCAACACTAAAAGGATAAGCTATGATGGCTTTTCACTTGTTAAACGACTTGCACATTTATCCAATCGAATTGTTGATTCAGAGAAAAATGTTAAAAGTAATTTTAAATATTCATTTCTTTATTTTTTTCATTATCATTTACAAGTTTTGATATTGTTTTGTATTTTACAACGGAAAAGACTTTAAGAGTGAAAACTGAATGGAAACTCTGTGAATGGATATTGTTATGTTGTTATGCCAGTCTTTACTCAATTTACCATGTAATCTTATGGTCATGAAGGAATGCTCAGAATCCCGCATCATTTTATCATTTTATTCATTCTCTCTCTCATCATCAATCTATCATCAAAATGAAAACATTGCATTTCCGTTTCTTTTTTTCTGTTCATCCATTTTTCATTCAAACACTTCATTTTCCCTTCAATTATTTCCTCTACTTCATTTGAATCTTTCATTTTTCACTCTAAACCTTATCTTCATCCACATCAAAATTATCATCATCTTCAACATTCTCATGCTTTTCTTACCTTTACAATGGAACACTGAACATTTTCTCAAAATAATTCACATTTTTCTTTCCTCTTCATCAATCAATATCTTGTTTTGAAGGCTTTCAAACAAAGCATTAGACAAAACTTTAAAACTCATTTTTTCACTTTTATTACAAGTTTCAACTTTGACCATCAAAAGTCGACGAGAAATGGACTCAATCGCTCTCTTAATTACATTAGATTTATGATAATTTAAAGCATTAAACTGTGATAATTAAAAGTAATCATCAGAAGCTGAACAAAACGAATCTGATTAACCCAGTGAATAACAATTGAATTACTATCATCACGAAAAATATTAACCATTTAATACGAAGCAAAAGAGATTAAAATATCATTGTAATTAACGGATAAAAAGGGCAAGAATTGGGTAAACTCGCAATGATTAACTAACTGTGTCCTAAATAGCAGTTTATTATTGATTATGAGCCACGATAAACCCATTTGATTCACTAATCAACGCACAAAAGCGGATCTTAATAAAGCAAAAGTTTCCATTTAAAAGAAAAGCAAGAAAATTGTAATTTTAATAACTTTCATTATCATCATTATAATCATGTTAACTCATTCTAATTACAATAAGTATCTCACCTTGAAACACACAAACACAGTGAGCACGTTTTCCAAGCCTAGAAGCAACATTATTAGTTGATTATCATTTGTATCAACAGCCAGAAACTGTTGCACTTTTAATTCGCCTTTTGATTGGGTCAAGATAAATATTGATCGTTTGCCAGTTTAACCGTTTAAGGCCAAACTCATCTTTAGCTAAATTAAATGAACACGAAATGGAAACTTTTTTGTTTCTATAAATTATCGTTCGACATTGATAAATTAATTTCAACTCATTGACTGATTGGGAACCTTCAATTGCAAGTAAAGTTCCAATTGTTCCAACATGAGAAGAGAAGAATTGAAAAAAAGAATTCACAATTTTCTTTTTTTTTGTGACCAAGCAATGAATAATTAAACTGTCCAAATGTGCCGATTGACCCTCTAAGGCAAAAAGAAAGGGTTAAACCGTGATATTGAACTTTATCAGGTTAATGGTGAATATTGTCTTTAAAGGTTAATTGTTGCAATTTGCTGTTCAATCAATTATGATGATACAGTTCTCACCATATTGAGATTTATTGATAATAATATTGATTATTTTTTCTTGTTTTCCAGTCCCAGATATTAGGTGTGTTCAAGTCCAAGTTGTATTAACAAGTCAAGTTGATTGATTTTTGACAAAATTGAAGATGTTAATATTGTTCGAGAATTAAATTGCTCCTTCAATTGTTGATTAAAAAACAGTGAAATATACAAACAATTGGCCATTTGCTTATTTACAAAAGGAAAGGGAAACCTTATTATTGAAAATCAAAAAGGAAGATTTTATTGGACAAATCATCATGTAAATTATTAATAAAAAGATAAGTTTATGCAAAAAATTACATTCGGTTCATTCATCAGAAATAGATATTTAACCACGATTTCTTCGATAATCATGACGGCGTAATATACCTGGCCCTATCCACCTAAAACGAAACTCACATTTCCAACTGAAATATTGTTTAATATTGAACTTTCTGAAAACATGGTCAGCTATTAAGTGTTGACCTCTTTCCACTGGTTGGAGCATCTGTGAAATTTTTAGATTCAATTCCTCGTTATTAACGATTTTTTTTATGTTTTTGAAGAAAGCTTCAGTGTATTGGTATCGACAAAAAAATTGACTGCAAACTCCTTCAGGAATGCTGTCTTCAGCTACTAGAATGTATTTCATGCAAATACGGTTGTATATAGACCATTCAAAATATAAACTACATTTCAAACGAAAACATTCGCCATCACGAATACGTGCTTCACTGATATCTGGTCTACCTTGGATCCTGTAGAATCAAGATTGTGCATGAATAAAGTTAATAAGCAATTGATTAGTATTAATCTTATGATAGATATTTTAAATTAATTATACAAATGTAACATTACCCTATTTGGTTGGCACAGTAAAAATAATCGGGTAGGGTCGTAGGTTCGGTCTATATAGGCCAAGTACATTTGTATATCTATTTGGTACTCCAGTTATTGATTCCAGCTATAAATGTATAGATAGTGATGAGTTATTGTCCAAAGGCCAAAAGATAGATTTTACTTGCCTGATCAAATACTTGTTGATATTTATATTCATGCCTATCATCATTCCAATCAATGACTATGTCATGATATTCATCAAAATGCTTCACTTTGAATGTAGCTAATAAAATGAAAGGTAAAGAGTGAATTATCTCAAAATTAAAACTAAAATAAAACTTACTTTTATCAGAGTTTTTATTCTGTTCTGCCATTCCAACTAGTATCAATGTGTATCAATATGTGTCTATGAACAGGAAACAAGTGGAAAAGTGAAACGTTTGAACTGAAAGCAAAAGTAAAACTGACAAAATTGAAAAGGTCCTGGACCAAGCAAAGAACAAGATTATTGGCCGAAAACAAGGGGTTGGACTCATTTGGACACTAAAGTAAACAGTTGTAAAACTTCAAGTTTTAAGGAGTTTTACAAAATTTAACCTCAACCTAGATTTATTGATAATTCAACAAAAATCTCGGCATTAATTTTTCACTCTTCCGAATCTTCGAGCTATTAAATAACTTTTTCTGGTTCAACAAAAAATCTAGAGGGATTGTAAAAGTAAAAGAGATGAAATTTTCATGAAACTTTCAAGTTTAATCTCAAATCTGAAAGTTAAGATTCTTTTCAATCTTTTCAATCAATACTAAATATGCATGGAAATTGTTTTCAATATTAAACACTTTTCTTGCAAAAACTTGCCTATTTTGTCAACTTTAGAAAGATTCATTAAAGGTTGAAAAATGAATAAACGGTGTTAATCAATTGGAATCAATTGAAAGCTTTTAAAAGTCGAGTCAAACTTTTGGTGATTAAATGATTCTAAATGATGAGTTGTCCATCATTTTGTTTGCCAATCGATAAATTAGAGGCAAAAAAGGGAAATACTTTTAACGTGAAAGTGTCACTTCAGGTCAACTCTCAATGATAATTACAATGCTAATCAATGATATTAGTTGTTAGGTTTGGTTTGAGTGAAAAATGATGAAAAAGATGATAATGGTTTTGAAAGAGAAGAGGAAAGAGAGAGAAAAGGAAAAGCTAGAAAACCAGTTTTCTCATTTCAATTAACCCCTGAAAGGGATGTTATGTACCTTAAAGGTATTAGTTAGGTTGTAGTAGTTGTTGTTATTATTGGCAGCGGCTTGTAATTTGTTGTTGGCTGTTGTTAATAAACAGACACATTTTTGCATCATTTGTGAAGAGAAAAAGGTAAGACTTATTAGTGGTTCCTAATGGCCTTTTTGGGCTTGTTGGCAATTTAAAGTGTAGCGACAAAAATGTGCCAAAAATGATTCCCTGGAAAAGAAGGAGATGTTCACCATTCAGTGTAAAGTCAACCTTAGATCTTTCAAAATCTAGACTCGTCATGAATCTTATAAGCCTCAGGTGTTGAATAAATAATATAATAATGATTAGCCACTAACCCAGTTCATGACAATTGACCATAAACAACATCAATCGAAGACCTGCGAAGTTTAACCATTTCTTTAAACTCGAAAATTGAAATTCGATTTTTTACATTTTTCCAAATTTCTTTCAGTTGCAAGTTCATTCGCTTTCGATGGAATCAATAATTTGGTTTGAAACTCTTTTCCTCTTTCATCTTTCAATGTTAATGTGCTCATTACAATGAAATTAATTTGTTAATTATCTTTTCTCATTTCATCTTTTTACCTTTTAATGAAAAATACCTTGAAAGGCACGGATCAAGAAAACAATTGTTGTTAGTTAATTGTATAATCCACTTTTACCTTTAATAGATAATTATATTGCAATGAGATTTTTGCTTGAAAGGCGTGAATAACCAACCCAAAGATGAATAAAGTTATTGTTTTGCGCTTCCATTGTGATTAAGCCTAATCTGGTTAATTCGGTGTAACAATCAATCTGCTAATCTTCATTTTGATTGTCATTAACATTCCCTGAGAGAAGGTAAATATTTTGATGGATTTAAATTGGAAATGTTTATTGTAATCTTCACCATTTTCACGATCATTCAATACAAAAATGATGCTTGTCAATGAAACATTAACGTTCAATTTTTTAGGGAATATTTTGATTAATCATTTCAATAAAATGTTCAGTTTCAAGTTTCATAAATCAACTGAGAAAACGT